AAATCCCTCATCACCACAGCACAGCAGGAGACATCCTGGACTCAGGTGAGCCGAGCCAGACCAGTGGAGGTCTGCTGAGCCGCTTGGATCAGGAGCCACTTGTAGCTGGCACTGCATGGCTCCCTTAGGGCCTTTTCATAGACTCAGCCAAGGCGAAACAATGGGCCACAGCCAGGAGAAATCACACCGCAGGCCCCATGCCAGACAGACCAAAAAAGAGGCAGAGACAGAAAGAGAGCACATGGGCGATATGAGATGATAAGTGAGCATCAGCACTGGAATATCTCCTCCTGACTCTTATAGAGGCTACATTAGAGACGCATTAAAGGACATGATTGAGGGGGCAAGTGGAAGCTCCTCCACCTTGAGGTCCATTGTCAAGGCTTTGTGGTGCTCTGTCAAGAGCCACTGGCATTAGCCTGAAGGGAAAGCAGAAGGAGAGGTCCAAAGAAAATATACAGGCAGCCAGGGAGCTGGAAGTGACCGCATGTCATCAACATGACCGAGCAGTCACTGGATAATTTCTCTAACACGGTGCACCTGAGTGCCATTTCAGGCTGCCTGGAAAAGGGCCTAAGCTCTTTGATCTCTGCCTAATGTGATGGAACCTGGGAGTCAGAGTGTCTCTGATTCCTCTCCTTTGTTTATCTTGCCTTTAGCAGAAACACCATTAACTCTCATTTAAACAAATAGTAGCCGCCCTTAAATGTGAGAGTATATCTCTTACTGGTACTTCATGCATTTGTTTTGCAACATGTTTGTGGAAAAACACTGTAATTATTTTTCATTTCATTTTTGCATAATAATATGAAATGGGCTTTTTGTTTTCAGATTGTATTTTGCTTTAGAGGTCAGAAATGTTCGCACTGTGTGCCAGAGCTTCTGGAGTGAATCAGCAGAGCTGCAGCTCAGTCCACCCTGCATGAGGCCGTTTGTCTGCTCTGAGCATGAAGCATTGCATCAGGAATAGTAGGCTGTTGTTTATTCATTAGCTGTTTCTGTTTTTGTCATCATGAATAAAGATGAGGAGGTCTGATGGTGAAAAAGCCATTTTAAATGAAGGGACACTATGCTTAAATCTGATATCACAATCCAGTGGTGAGCTAATATTTGTTGCTAACAATTTTAAATTCTAAATTGACAGTTTTCAGACCGACACTTTCTGAACTCACCTTCCATCAAAGAATATCACCTTTCAGTCAGAGTAACACTAAATCCACATTTTAGAGGTAGTAAATTAGATATACAGTCACTTTAATACACTGTCTGTTGAGCCTGGTTTTCATCTATATTGCTTATTACAACTAATGTTTTTTTCCCAAAGCA